TCATTCCAAGTTCAATATACGTGTCTTTGTAAAGAATGCGTTCACAATGAATTTACAGAGAAGAACTAAAACTAAACGCACGCAACTTAAAATTAACATGTACGCATCGCACGATGTCGCTGGTGCTCCGCTGGGTCGATGTGCACACGACGGATGTTCAGTTGGTAATGAGTCTCCGTACCACTCAAGGTTAATATAATATTACAGTCGTCGGTGATCCGGTACAGTTGATAACTTTTTTTTCAAACTTCTAAAATTTTATCTTTGTGTACACATCGAAAGTTTAATTGATAATGAATCTCCGTATCGCTCAAGGTTAATCTAATGTTTCGGTCATCAGTGATCCGAAACAATTAATAATTTTTTTTCATACTTGTAAAACACGACGGAAATTTAGTTGATAATGAACTTCCCTACCGCTCGAGGTTAATCTAATGTTTTGGTCGTCAATAATTCGGAACAATTGATAATTTTTTTTTAGTATTTCTGAAAACAGTTTTTTTATTATACTAATCAATAATTTAATAATTTTTACATTTTTATCGCAAAGTTACACTTTCGTGAATAGGTTACAATGTTAAATGTAATACTTTATTAATTTTTTGTCGGCTAAAACTAAATTCACGTTACGTGATATTAATTTTTAAGTTATAACTGCATTGTATATTAAAGAAAAGTTAACATAGAGAAAAATTATGTAATCAAAAATTGTAAACGGTGATTGTCGCTTTAGAATAATCGCGCAGCATGTAAAAATTTTTGCTCGTTTATTGTTCCAAAGAGCAAGAAATATATGTATTACGTAACTGTCTTTTCCGTTATTATAAATAAAATAATTTAATTATTATAAATGAATTATGCAAACTATGAAATAATGTTTGGGAATTCGATCACTGATTTAATTGTTAGAAGTAAATAGTTAAAAATCGAGGTAAGAAAACTTGCTGAATCGGTACGACAGAATTGGTGATACGATATTTCACTGTATTTGTGTTGAAATTTCAAACTTCCAGCTTAAATGGAAAGAGAGTCTAGAGAAGTGAGAAGAAAGCCTAAAATCTAGAAACAAATATACAATTGCACGAGATCACAAACTAATCTTCGTAATTATGTTTTCTTGCAAACGAAAATCTGTAGATACGATGATCGATAAATGACAAAGTCAATGTACTACAAAGGAAATTTTGTACTTTATTTTAACGTTTAAATAATACAGAATATAATGGATGAATGACGACTGTTTATTAAGTTTTTAACAACTGTTACATATATTCTTGGCAATTTGTTTGTAAATTGGTAACCAATAATTTGTTGGTATCTCCGTAGTAACATTGATAAGATAATTGAATAGCAATAGATGTCGTGACGAGGTTTTACTTTATTTTAACGTTTATATGATACAGAGTTTAATGGATGAATTACGACTGACGACTGTTTATTAATTTCTTATTTATTGTTATATATATTCTCGGCAATTTGTTTATAACTTGGTAACCAATAATTTGTTGGTATCTCCATGGTAACTTTGTAAAAGACTAAATAGATGTCGCCACAAATCTCGAAATAGTGTTACCATCTCGAGATTCGTAAAGATAAATTGAAAAAATCCGACAGATAACTGCACATATCTTGTTCTCGAATAGAATCGCAATAGAGTGTAAGAGACAGATTTGTGTGATGTGAGAAACAAGGAGCGCATTAATATGCGACAAGGACATCAATAGATTTTAGTTTCATCAGTTCACCGCTACGCGGCGCTAACATTTCAATAAATTGACATTTTCACTTGCGAAAAAAAGTAATTAAGAAAATTAATATACGGGCTTTTACAATTGTATCTTCGTTTTTTCTTCCAATTTCTTATTTGATTTGTAAAACGCATAAATAAAAATCTACAAATTTTGTTTGTTAACTCGATACATATTCATTCTGATAATGTTAAATTTCGCTCAAACTTTTTGACATTTGAATCAAAATTGTTCGTGAATATAGGTAAAAGTATGCGCAATAAATTTCGCATAGTTTTGAAATTTATATATATTTAATATTTATTTGAAATATCATCAACGCGCGGATATTAAAGAATTCACGAAAGTTTCCATCTTTTTCTCGTAGAAGTGCTACACAGAAACCACTGATTAATAAATCATGACCGTCTTTATTTTCTTCTATGGTGGATTTGCCGACGGTCGGTAATAAAAACATTGATCGCTCTGAGAATTTTTTTTTTCAAATTCGAGCAATCTAGCCTAGCGAAGAAATTCGGATTTTCTCCTTTCAATTCGATTCAGATCTCCGATTGATCACAGGTCATAGGGACGATAGTCGCAGCTAGA